CTTCCGAGTTAACCGAGTCCGGTGACCTGGCACGAACCTCGGCGGACCAGGAAAAAGCGATAATAGAATTCACTCTAAAAACGTCCGTGCATCTACTTTCCCGCACAACACTCGGGAAGTCAATCACCGCAACTAACGGAGGCAGGTGAGCGAATGACGATGCGGAAACATATGTTTAGACCAAAACACGCAGTCTGAGTTGTGACATTAAGCACTGCAAAACGTCACGCTTGCATTGTTTAATGTCACAACTCAGACTGCGTTTTTTTGGTCTAAACATATGTTTCGGCATCGTCATTCGCTGATCTGCCCCCGTAAGTTGCGGTGATTGACTCTCCGAGTGTTGGTGCGGGAAAGTAGATGCACGGCCGTTTTTTAGAGTGCGTGTTCAAAATTTCGATAATCATGGTACCGCAGGTCCGCGGACCTATTTCAAGACGTTTGCCCACGTGATACACCACATTCCTCAGATCCGCGGACTCGTCCCTGTACACGTTCCTTTGGTCCGCGGACAAGCTCTTGAGTTTTGCATGTTTTTTGTTGTTGTTTTTTTTCGCCTGGAACATGGCGGATTTCGAATCGCAGGAAATGTGACGTTACCGATTTTGTAGGAACTTGTCCAGGTTCCGAGAATTTTAAGAAATGGAAGGGTCTTAGCATACGACCGCCTTGACGTTTCCAATACACACACGGACCATAATTACAGTACTTAAAATGTTGAATAATCATATTTAGTCGTCAGTAATTGACGACTACGATTGCCGTTCCATTTCGTGTCCGCCTGAGAGCATATCCTAGGTGAAAGACGAAATTCGGGTACCTTCCATAGTTGTTTTTCATTGTTTTTAACGTGCAAAACTTAATCTTGAGCTCCCTGTATAAAACTACTTACGAGCATGTGTCTTCGTTGGTATTATAATTGATCGCTGTTTTTTAACTAATTATGTAGAGTACTACACGAGACAAGAAGAAATTTAAACATCTGCGTCGCAGGTTTTCGGCCTTTATGACGAACACGAGATTACAAAAATTTCGTCAGAAAAGGTTGACGTGACGGCACTGTGCTTACGTGAATTGTATGTATCAGTTATTTTTTTATTATTGTTTGCACACGTGGTTTAGGAAGAAATGAAAAGATAAACACCGAAAACAGTCTCATAATCGAAACTCCGAGACAATCAAAATAAAATACCGAACAGCACGAAACAATTTTTTTTTCTTGTTTGAGGGCTTAGATTATGGTGTTTCTCAACCGGCTCGCCTGTGCACTTTCTCCTCTTGAAAAAGACACGTTGTTTATTTTATTTTTATTTTTTTTTTAATCTTTTGTTTTGCCTAAAAGTGTCTAAAGAACTTCTTATAGTCGAGTGAAAGGAGTTTCATCTTAAATGACGCGAAGCCATCTTTGCTTCTTTTATCGTCTGGTTGCGAAATGTAAAGTTGAATGAAGTATATGAATGAGCGTCACGAACGCACTATATGTGACAGCCGCGACGTCTTGAAGGAAAACACATAATGATAAACTTGATAAACAGATAATGATAAACTTCTAGGATCACGAATATCAAAATTGTTATTTTTTCAACTTGATGCGCCCTACACGAGCTTTCGCAATAGCGCCATTTGGTAGCGCTGAAGCCTCCCCTGCCCTGCGTAAGGAGCAAATTAGAGGGGAACTGTGACGCCATCTTCAGAGATCTCGACAAACTCTGCGCCTTCCACGAGTCTTTCTTTCCCGTGCGGTCGACAAACGTGTTTGCGGTTTCGTCCCTTTCTGCTCCCGTCGTAGATTAACGTATTCGTTAAGAGGACAGTTAGTTGGCCTTCGCGCTTCGCTTCAAATAAAATGCGTGTAACTATATACGACTACGGCTGGCGTGTTTCGCGGCCTATTCGGCCCGTGCACTTGTGCGACGTTATCGGGCAGAAATCGAGAGACAACTTTCGAGGGTGCGGTAAGCTCACCGGTCGGAGCTGCGCTCCGGACGCTGTATAGTAGTGGAACTGCAAGCCTGCCAAGGATAACTTTGGCAGGCTTGCAGCAGTTGCTGCACGCGCTGGCCGGCCAAAAACCGAATTTTGCGTCCAGTGGTTGTTTATATTTACTTGTTTCTTCGCATTTAGTATTATTTTGGGGGCAGGTTTTTTTTTTTTTGGCTGTCCTATTCGAATTCACCAGATAAATTACGCTTAAAGTAACTTCTAGCTTACTGAAACAAAGTTTATCCTCGTTTTTCTTTAGTCCAATTTTTTTTTTCGCGCCATCGGGGAGAACATGGAGATATCGCAGTAGGTATATCGATAACGCTCGGGATACATCCAGCAGATTCGACCTAGCCGAGCTATGCTTGTGTTTTAAAGTTCCTATTGCCTTTTTTAAAGTTTATTTTAAGTTAACAAGCGTTTCTGGAGGTTAGGCACATGACGTCAAATGCGCGACGGCAAACAAAACGTAGTCGCGCCATTTCTTTATACTTCTTCCTACTGTTTTTGCGTCGTTAAACTACGTCATACAGACAAAAAAAAAAAAGTGCGTCGTCTTGACCCGGAGAGACGGCTTTAGCGGTCGGTGATTTAAATTCTTTCGGCGAGCCGCTCTAAAACCGCGCACATTCTCGCAGCCGCACCCTGTATATACTTTTGTGTGGAGGATATCGACGCCGTTTACTACGCTTCCTCGTGAATTAAACAAACACACACACAAAAAAAAACGCCTCGACTAAAAAAAAACACACACACACACATTTTGCAACTCAAGAACGGCATTATGAAACCCCACTTAAAGCTCGTCCTGGATTGGTCAGAGAGCACTTGTGGGCGGCAAAGAGGGCTCTAAAATGTCCCTCTTGAGCTGCAAAAAAAAAAAAAAAAAGAAGCCCAATTTTTTTTTTTTTTTTTTTTTGTAGGCACTGTTTTTTGTTTTTTTTAAGACGTGTAGTAATATAGTTCAATATATACCGAAAAATAAGATAGGTCGCCGTTTAATGAACTCTGGGGAATTGGGTCTATCAAAAAGATAAACACCGAAAAAAGTATCTTACTTTCTGGTCGTATAATTGAGAGAGCGAGGCTAATTATACGTTTTCTCTCCTCTCTCTCTCTCGTTGAAAGGCAAGATTGTAACGATCGGAGTCGTTTGAAATATTTTTTTTTTCTCATTCGCAAATTAGGTCTCCAACTGAAGAAAATGCAAGTCCTCGCGGAGTTCCGCAGCGAAGGGGAACAAACAATCCGAAGCTAGCACGAACGAGCGAGGGATCAAAGAGGTTTTTCCATCTCATTTCTTTTTTTTTTTTTTTTTCTCTCTTGGAACCGAAATGTTGTTTTAAATAGTGTACTCATTGTGAGCACTGGGTTAGAGGATCAAATTCGGTTTAAGTTAATGATGCCCTTTCTCCGCAAAAAATAAAAACAAAAAAACGAAGCGCCGTCGTTGTGTTTGCAGTAGCTGTGTCACGCAGTGTGCGTGCGTACTCCCAATATGGCTTATTACGTCCGAAAACGTCCGGTGTTTTTTTTTTTCAGCCCGGCCGAAACACAGCGAAGATGGATCACGCGGCCGAACCCGCGCGTGCGGGTTTCAGCGTAAGAGACGAGCGTCCGTGAACCGCAGGGCCCCGCTTTGAACCGGTGCCATCGTGGCAGGCCGCGTCACCCGAGTCACACGCACGTATACGACACACGCTCGTCTTGATCAATTGCTTGGTGAACGGCCGACGCGGAAACTTGGCAGAAAAGCAACGTCGCCGCGTGCGCACATTCTGGCCGGGGTCGTTTTTAAACCGCGGTTCCGTCCGTCCGTCGTGCCCTAGCTGCCTTCATGTACCGACCGGTTCCGCATTCGGCGCCGAGATTACACATTGTGACGTTGTTGCGTGCGTTTCCGGATGTACATACACTTGTTATTGTTTTTTGCTGCCTTGTCTTCCGTATCGCGTTCTGGGTTCAAGACCCCCCGAAGCAGTCGAAAGTATAAAGGTCACTGCGAAGGTCCGCGGTGCGTGCGGACTGAGTCAAGGGGTATGCGTGATCATGTTTCGTTTCGGTGCCTCTGTGCAGGGTGAGAGACTAGTTTAAGGGATCAGGGCGAAAACGAAGAACGAGATGACATGACGGGGCACATATTTCGGCGATTAGGGACAAAACAAAGAACGTCACTCAAGAGCCAGACCTAGCGAAAAGAGACAGTTAAGGGCAGGTAATCACCGCAGCAGCTACCTGCCCTTACCTGAATATACTCCCTGGACATATTTATTTTTTAAATATTTATTTGTTTTGTTTTCTTTTTGTCAGCCGTCTTAGCGAACCGCGTATCTACTCAGAAATTACTTGGCACGATTTGTAGCGACGAGCGCGCCGCCGCCAGTTCAACAAGTTCACGCGCAAAATGTAAAATACAGAAAGAAATCGCTCGAGTGAATTGTTTTACGTTGACGTAGTACACAGTCTCTCAAATTGCACTTCGAATAGAGATGCTCACCTACTTCTAGTATGCATATAGCCTGTGTGCATGGGCTTCACGCCAGCCAGCCGCAACGCCGAAACGCTGCCTGTAAAGCTAACTTCTCCCCTTCACTCCCGCGCACGCGGGGAGGTCAACGTTCAAGATCAATCCGACTTGGAATCGGCTGGAGCGGGCTCAGCTGCACCTCGTTGTCGCGCGGCGATAGCAAACAATTCAAGAGTTGCGTGACTCACGGACAACGCAACTCTTCAAATGTTTGCTGTTGTTTTCTTCGTATTTTTTCCCCCTTGTGCGCCCGAGTGGAAAACGCATTTTCAGCAAACACGAAGAGATTGGTCAGCGAGCGTGACTCGGGACGGCAAGACGGCGAGCCGAGTCCCTTCACTGCGTCGTTGCCGACACAAACTGCTAATTTGGGTCCGGGAACGAGAAGGCCTGGTCCCGAAAAGATGTCGCCCGCAAAAGACACCAACAGACATCGAAAGGAACGCCACAAAGGACGGCCTGAATGCGTCCGAACACGATTTGCACTTACCCTTAGCAGGAGACGGACATGTTGACGAGGCCGGTGCACGACACTCATCCGCGAGCTCTCGAATCGTTCGGCGCCGACGAAAGCGGTCTTTGTCAGAGCCGACTCTCTCCGCCGCATAACCTGGACTCAGCGGTATCTTCGTGATCGATTATGACCACCCGTGGTGGTACGAAACAAAGAAAGAAAACAAGAAAGGAAGGAGAAGAGAGAGAAAGAAAAAAGAAAAACCAAAGCGCTAAACGAACGGTACCTTTTCTGTTCGGGAACAAAAGAAACGGCGAAAAACTGAAAAAAGAACGGGAGAAGCGTCTGCATCCAGCCAGGTTCGCAGACGGACTGGGGGGAGAAACGGAGGATCGTCTGCTGCACTGAGGTCGGCTGCTTCTGGGAAAGCGGGGTTTCCGTCGCCATGGCGACCGTCGCCCGGGTACGCGGCGCTCAACCGCCTGTTGCCAGGGTGACGTAGTGGGTGAGAAGGGAGTTCCCGGATGATGGTTGTCATGACTACGCGGCAACGCGCGCTGGCGCCCGGTCGAGCGCCGGCGGCCGGGCGAAGATAAGGCGAGTGACTCGGGACGCCTGCAGTGAAGTGAGTAATGTGCCTACAGTAAAGACATACAGGTTGCGGTGCGTCGCGACAGCTTAGCGTCAAGCACCCAGAGTCTGCGAAAACGTGACGACAAATGGCTCTGCATGTAGAGAACGATAGAGTGGCATGTGCTCTAACAAACGAACGGCGGCGCTGCCTGGTGCCTCCAGCGGTTTAAAGTTCCACGATGCGGGTGACGCCGTCTGGCGACAATTTTGTTACCATATCAAGTGCGCAAAAACGTGACGGGAGGTGGTGCTGGCGTGCAAATAATCTCAGCACCGCCTAGTTGCACTACCGGCTTCCTAGTTGATGCGGAGATCCATACTCTACTCGAGGTTTATAAGTGTGTTCGTGAGATACGACCAGATGTGGTTAACTCGCGGGTTTATTTCATCGAAGTCACATAATCGACTTCTCCATTGCGTAACACGGCGTAAAAAAAGAAAGAAGAATATGCCGGCGCTCATAAATTTCTCTCTGCGTTCAATATAAGCGAGGCTTATTTTGACAGTTCCTTGCTTTTCGTTATTATGTGCTCTCACTACGTCGTGCCAAAGCACGAGTATGAGAGGAGATGTGCAGCAGTTTTATTTCGGAAGCTATAAAAAATTACAGCACCTGGCGGCCAACACGTGACGCTGTAGAACGGCGCTTTAAAACCTGCTTACTTGAATCGTCAATAAATTCCTCAGATGCTCGCACCAATTGGTGATCATAAGAGCGGCGATGGCCTGTTGCGACATTTTATTTTATTTATTTATTCTTTTTGTTTGTAGGAGAAAACAAACAAACTAAAAGTTAGGGTGACAGTCCGCAGTATACTGCGCCACTGAGAGCGCATTAGGAAATCAGAACGGAACCCGTTTGTAATTAATATCTACTTCTTGGGGATCAAATAAAAGAATTGGTGCAGTCTTTGCTGCGTACCCGGCTGGATAGTCCGAAAACTTAGTTATCCGAGGTGTTTAATTATAGGCATAATAAACGTGTTAAAAAGAAACGAGCACGAGCTTAGCGTACAGGTTCGAAAAGTCAAGAAATTCAAACACTCCGTACTTGAAATTAACTTAATCCCAAGACTTTGTACTTATTGGTCACGTGACCGCCTGTGAACAATTATTACCAAGCTTTATGTTGTTGTTGTTTTTTTTTCTTTTTTTTTTAAGCAATTGTATTCACTATTCGTATTTTTTACACTGAACACATTATGAGAGAGCCACCACAAAAGTTGCGTGGCCACTGAAAGTTGGAGGCAGGTTTCCTTGCAATGCAAGCCGGTCGTGCAGTGAAGAAAGGCTGGTCGACCGGTTTTGTTTTCACTCCGTGTACAGCGAGTGAAAAAACTACATAGCTTTCCACTCGATCTATTTGGCTATACTGCATTTCACGCATTGCTAATTATGGTACCTCGTGCTGCATGGTCGTTTCGCTCAGCCTCTACCTGCGCTAAAAGCTAGCTTCGTTCGAATCCTACTTCAGGTATACGTGGTACGTGAAGGAGAGCGGTCGAATGAAAAAGTAGCACCAACTCTTCAAACTTTCTTCATCTCAGTTGCGATCGGTTAATAGGGGGTACACAAATCTCATGAAGGCATAAAAGTTCGCCGTGTTAAGATTTGCAGCGCTGATCGCTTTTTTTGAGTAGGAAACATGAAAGAGAGAGAAACTATGTATAATGCGTTTAAGAAAATTGTGCAAGTTAGAAAGGTACGTGACTACGTGACAAACACACACAATAATGAAAATAAAAAAAAAAAAAAGAAACTATTTAGAGCTGTTTGAAATGTTTCCTCGGGGCATTCCATACGCGGTACTGACTTACGGCACTTGGAGTGGCTTGCATTCGGTATCTAAGCTGAAAAAAAAAAAAAAAAAAAAACGGTTATGGGTTAATGAAAAGCTGCTATGGGCTGCAGAACCGGGGCTCATTTGTACGTGCACTACTAGTATATTTGGGGAGGGGTGCCGCTGCGTGCATTGCAGGCAGCCGTCCTCCAATATACTATACTGCACGCACAAGGAAACGAGCTCGATCGATCGCGAGGGTCAAATCTAACTTCTAGAAAAAATGGCTCTCTACAAGTTCCGTTTGACCTAGAAAGACGCAGATTTCTGAACAGAAAAGAGAGTAAACAAAATACTGTAAAAATATAAAAAGAAGACGGTGGCATTGGCATTGGAACTTTTTATAGATTAAACATGCGAGTAGTTAACCAAAGCCTATAATTCATTGTAAATGTTGCACGCTTACCCTCGCTTTAATCCGCTTGCGGTTTAACTCGGAGAGGTCACGACTGACAAATTATTAACGGTGACATTATCTCTCGTCAGATTCGTTTCTAGATTAACTGGGAGAAACCTCGATTAATAAATTGTAAACAGTGCCATTATTTCTCGTCGCCGTCTCAGAAGTAGTGGCTGGAAAAAATGGCAGACACAAACACCCGTCAATACAGACAACACTGAAACTAGAGTGTTGAATTTGTAAAACTGTTCTTTTTTTATGTATTATTAGGGTCTGAGGGCATGTAACAAACGAAGCGAGCAGAAAAAAGACAGAGACAAAAATAAGCAGAAGCAAATTAGCTCATGTGACTCACTGCGGTAATAATTTGTCATGGAGTTTCGTACGTTAGGATCATTGACCAGCACGACCAACCCCAGGTTCCGAATCTATATCAGCTTTATACTGGTCAGAATCTCTTCCTGATTCCCGGGTTTACAGTGTTTGCTCGAGTTCTCTCGCACTTCTACCCGGATAAGTTAGAAGACCCTTCGGCTGACCCGTCTCTATTCTTTGTTTGTTTGTGGGTCTGTGCGCGCGCATTTGCGTGGGCCCATGCGAGTGTGTGTGTGTATGTGTGTGTGTGTGTATACATATGTGCCCGCCTGTCTGGTCATTCGTACGGTGACCAACCAAGTATAAGTTCTTAATATGCCGAAATCAATTCAACGCGAGATGTGATTTTGTATACGATGTTGTCGAGGAAAAAAACAACAACGATTGGTTTCTTTTAATTATTTTTTTATTGTAGGCATTTAACGGGCGATGTAATGTCATGCCCTTTTGGTGATCCCACTGACGCGCGCTGCGTTGTCAACTTCCCAGGTGCCAACCATATGCGAGGTTGTCCGCGCAGAAGTGTCCTCCCACAGGAGGTGATGCGTTTTCGCCCCGTCTTTCTGGTGTACCGCGAGTCGTGAAGTGCGATGTATAATCCGTCATCTATCAGGTTTCTCTCGTGAGGGCGGGGATGCGTACGCCTGCGATAACCACAATCAAGAATGAGAAAGTTAGCGAGTGAAAGAGTTGAGCGATTAAGTTCGTTCGCAAACAATGAAAGGCGAAAAGTCAGTCGCGCTATACTCGACTCGCCGCTAAACTGGCAGGGCGATGCAAGCTATGTGTACGCGATAGCACAACGAATCAACCGCCTGCCTCTCATCTCCTGGCGTGACTCTCTGTGCGTGAGTGCGGGCGAGAGCGTGATCACGTGATCAAAACTCGACGGATGACTGCCCCACGAGCGCGTATATTCCCGCCGCTTTGTCAGCTTAGCTGCGAACAAAATACCGAGCCCCATAAGGCCGCGAGGCTGCACTTGTCAGTTAAAGTGGCGTCGCTGTAGTCGATCTGTATATATATTGTTGGGGTTCGTATAGCATTGTTTTGACGGCGCGTTTTCGAGCTTCACGCCTCCCGATGAGGAGATATAAAAACACGGATTTGTGCGATGATAGTCTCGGGCGCGCCAGTTTTAGCGGCGGGAAAAATACCGCAGCGGCATAATCCCTATTCTGCATCCCAGGGTGCTTTATCAAATAAACATTGAGGTGATGCTATCGAGCCGGTCTGTAAGCAGACGCAAAGGGCAACACCCCGTTTCTTTGTTTGTGTGTGTGTGTGTGTGTGTGTGTGTGTGTGTGTGTGTGTGTGTGTGTGTGTGTGTGTGTGTGTGTGTGTGTGTGTGTGTTAAATGAACCTGGATAACCTTACACCAGCAAGGCGTTACGCTTCCTGTGTTGACACGATTATATATACCTAAGGCGATTGGGTTGCTTCGAGGGAAAAGGAATCCCGAGAAACGGTTCCAAGTGATCTCCGCGTGACATGGGAGAACAGGCATAGGTTGTTTTTGACATTTGTCACGTGCGCCTGCTTTCACCGAGCACCGGCCGTGTTTGCCTGACGGAGGCCAATTACGCGCGGTCGACATCTCATCAAAGGCTAAGTTTACATGGAATGCGCAGTATCGGGTCGAGTTGAACGGGACTTGGACTAATCAGGTGAACCCAATTTCCCTCTACCTTCGCCTTAAGATACCGGATCCTGGTCGGTGTTGTTTGGTCCGATCCGCTACCGCTGTACCACCCACGTAACGGCAGCCAAAACGATCGCGTGCTTGCATACATGACTTTCACTTCCCACCCCCTTGACCGGAGCGCTACGTTTCGTACAGACGTTTGCGTCGGTCGCTTTGAGAGCGGCCAAAATGGCAGCGAGGAAATAATCGCCGCGGCACCTTTTCCAATGACGAGCTTCGGGCCGGTGCCATTTTCAGCGTTCATGCGTGCACGGCGCGTGATTTGCTCGCTTTTCAGAGCGATGAACGCTCGCATGCCGGGCTGTGGAGAGATCACACGCTCGGATGCCGGGCTGTGAATTTGGAAACATTGGAATATCGCTGAAGGTTGCGAATATTACAACTTTAAGCGATGGTGGTAACGCGGTGTGAGGATCGCGCT